TTGTTTTTCTTTCTTCTACAGCCATTTTACTTTATGTTATAATTAAAACATAGCAAATCATCAAGTTAAATCATCAAGTACTATGTTTACATACAAATTTCTTCTCTACTGCCTGGGAGGGAGGTACCATTATCCAGAGGCTGTTCTAGACAATAACTATCAGAATATCAACCAGAAGCTTAACCCAGGACAGCCTGACTCCAACGTCTGTGCTTTCTACTACTAGACTCTACCTCACCCCCAATCTCAAATATAATTTTAAAATGAGACAGCTTATATTTTATGTAGTATTACCAATCTTATCTAAAAGAAAATGAATTCACATGAGCAAGGAATCAGAATTGTTTACTCATTCAATATTCCACAAGCAAGACTGTATTCTGGTAACATGTTAATATGCTTCATCAAGAGGCTACTTTCCTAATTATCAGCATGATTCAAGGAATGTTAAAATTCTCATTATAAGTCTAGGTGTCAGATAATAAACCGTATGTCACATGGAATTCTATTTTAGAAGATAGTGCTAACTCAACAGTATTAGGGATGGAAGAGCTCATCATACAAGAAATACTGAAATAAGGGGGAAAGACACTTAGAAGTTTAATGATAGATCAATCCATCAACATAAAAGTTGTCAGTTGAAAAAGAATGCATAGCCCTTAATCAGAAGGCAAACTATTATGCATAGATTATAATTAATTATTTCTACTGTGTTTATAACCCATTAAGTATTTTCTTTCAGGCTTCTTTCCCTGAGTTCCTTAATTATTGATGTATTCTGGAAAAAAAGGTCCTTTCTGGAGGGAGTGTGTGTGTGTTTGTGTGGGGGGTGAACCTGTGTGTTCATAACCCAGAATCACTTAAGAGCCAGGTCATTAGTCTCCAATCTGTGCACACAAAAGGGTGGGCCAGACAACAGTGGCAGGAAGATTACAGTATGGATGGAACTACAGAAATTCCTCTTCCCCATGGGCATCAGAGAGAGCTTCACCAGGTTAGTCTTAAACCTAATCAGAGAAGACTGCTCGTGATGTATGCTTATAGACTCCAAATACTGACCCCCCCAAAATCTCTGAAAGGTAAATTTGATATGCTTACAATACCAAATATAGCCAATAAATCTAGACTATTCTGTCTGTGGCCTCTGATTTTTTCATTTGTCCCATCAAAAATTCTGTTAAACACTGCTATACATGCTATTCAAAGTGGGTGTGTAGGCTTTGAAGATGGGGAATCTAAATTTCACCTATATCTTTTGATTGATTTACAATTCCCAAAGGCCAAGATATAGGAGTATAATAACAAGACTCTATATTAATCACCTATGTCCACATTTACATTGAATAGTAGTATACCTTTCCGCAATACTTTCCTTTTTCCTATGTATGCTACGTTTGTTCTGATTGTAGAAATGTCATTTTATGTCTGTTGAATCTACTAACTAAAAAACTTGAGCTTGTCTTTTGTATGTGCTCTCCTGAATTACATCTTCCTATTTTGCCATTTTTTATTGGATTTTACAAATGCACGGGCCCATGATGTTGGGGGAGGGGGCCGCTTCTACACTGTAGATATCTGAGAAACACTCGTGTGGATAACAGCAGCTGATACAGTCATCTCCAAATGACCCAGTTCCTAGTTACACTAGACTGACATGGTTCTATTTTTGTATTTGACACCTTAAGTTCTGCGAGCACGGAGGAGTCGAGAACACTGACTAAGCCTTGGCAGGGCTTGCGGGGAGTGCTAAAGGACAGGGCAGCTGGCCTAGGAGAGGCGGTGAGTCACGCACCCCTGCCTGATTTTTCCCCTCAAGCCTGCTGCCCTAGGAGTCTCCTGAGAGATTAAAAGGCTCAGGGCAAAATGGATTCAATGCACAATTTTGCCTCAGGTAAAATGTGGGAGTAGCAAATTGGATGACTTTTTACAAGGACCCTATAAACACTTTAATAAAAAGATAAAGATGGGCGCCTGGGTGGCTCAGTTGGTTAAGCGACTGCCTTCGGCTCGGGTCATGATCCTGGAGTCCCGGGATCGAGTCCCGCATCGGGCTCCCTGCTCAGCGGGGAGTCTGCTTCTCCCTCTGACCCTCTTCCCTCTCCTGCTCTCTATCTCTCATTCTCTCTCTCAAATAAATAAATAAAATCTTTGAAGAAAAACAAAATAATAAATTAAAAAAAAAATAAATAAAAAGATAAAGACAAGAGCATTCGCTTCTCCTCTACACCCAGGTGTCTCCCTGAGTTTAAGAAGGACATGGGATATTTGAACCAAAACTAGCATGTACTACTATAACTGAAACTGCTCCTAACCACAACCTGGTCAATAATGTCTTGAGTGAAGTCAACGGAGCTCAGTAAGTCTGAGCTCATCTGTGGGTCAGAGTCCTAGGCCCCAATTCAGCTTCTGTCACTCACTCACATGGGCCCTTGGGTCTGTCTCCTTTCTCTCTTTCAGCCTCATGGGGCTCATTGTCAAAGGTCTGTTGTGAGGAATGAAATGAGATAATACATATGGAAAAGGCCTTGTCTGAGTGCCTGGCACAAGAAAGCCATCACTGATGGGTACCAGAAGTAGGAAGGTGCTGGTGACAAAGACAATAACAGGAAGTGACCACTTCTTGACTTAGGACAGGGGCTCCCGAGGCATTCTTCTCCAGGATACCTCACATAGGACAACCCACTGTCGCCAGCCCTGGGAGGTGTGAATGGATGAAGGATGAACTGCTTTTTGGGGAAGTGATTAGTGGAAGGAGGAGGGGCACAGTGAGTTACAATACTGAACTCTTACTATGCACTTCATTTAGAGTTAACATTAAACTGGTTCCCGTTTCACATTTTACTATCTGTGCAGACTTGGGAGAGGCACTGACGCACAGGCTCATTGCCTCAGTGTCCTCATCTGTAATATGGGAATAATAACAGTGACTCCTAGAGTTCTGTGCCATAGAATTGTTATGAGGAATAAATGTGATAATATAAAGAGAGCTTAGATCTGAGTCAGGCACCTAGAAAGCATTCTGTGATGAACTGTTAATTTTTTTTTTTTTTAAAAGTACCTCCTAAAGGGGTGCCTGGGCTGGGCAGTCAGTTAAGCACCCGACTCTTGGTTTTGTTCGGCTCAGGTTGTGATCTCAGGGTCCTGAGATGGAGCCCCCCATCTGGCTCTGCGCTCAGTGTGTAGTTTGCTGGTCCTTCTCTCTCCTTCTCTGTACCTCCCCCCACCCCTGCATGTCTCTCTCTCTCTCCAATAAATAATAAATCTTTAAAACAAAGAATAAATAAATAAAAAGTACCTCTTAAAAGTAAATAAAATAAAAATAAATAAATAAAAACTACCTCCTGGTTTTTCCCCTTTGTCATTATCACTCGCCCTCAGGCTCCTTGGCTGCCTTCCTCTTCTCCCCAGTGTCTTAAGGTTGGCTGCCCTAGAAACCAGTTCCTGGTTCTGTGTACTGGCTTCTTTGATATATATTCACTCCCTTGACCATCCTGTCCAGTTTCAGTGCTTCAAACACCAGCTCTCAGCTGTCTCCTGAACTCCAGACCCAGTACCCTGCCGCCTACTCAACCCCCTGCTTGTAGGTCTAATCGGCTCCCCTAAGCGGGCATGCTTGTAACCGAGTCCCATCCCTTCATCCACCCCCTTCGCTTCTCACGTGAGAGGAAGTCTGTCCTCCCAGCCGCTCAGGCCAGAAGCCCTGGAGTCCTCAGGGATGGCTCTTTCCCTCACACCCACGTCTAACCCACTGCGGATCCTGTAGGTTCCACCTTCATGATGGAGTCGAGGATCTCATTCCTTCTTGGCACCGGTCTGCCTGGTGACTACACTGGTCTCCGCACCACATTTCCCACGTCTATCCTGTCCTCTTAGCAGACTATTCTTCAGTGTCCAGGGTGATTCTTTTACAAAGTAAGTCAAAAACACATCAGGCTGCTGCACAGAATCCAAAGGCTTCCATTCCACTTGGAGAAGAGTCAGCCCGTACATGGGCCTGTGTGGCCTTATCCTATCTAGGACCCTAGGGTCTGCTTCACTGTGTTCATCCCCATCCCTCCAGCCACACTGGCCAGGAACATACTGCCTGCACACCTTTGGTCCTATCAGCCTGGAATGTTCTTTGGCTTAGCTAATTCCTTCACTATCCCCCACAAGCCTTTACTCAAATGTCATTTTTTTCACTGTTGCCTTTCATGACAATTCTATTTAGAACTGCAACTCCCCCTCACTCACTGTTCTGCTTCTTGATACACAGCACCTTTCACCTTCTTATATACTCTGTAATTTACTCACTTAGCATGTCTAGTGTCTAGTACCTGCCATCCCCTCTGGGATGTAAGTTCACTAGGACGGGGATATTTCTGCATTTTGTTCACTCATGGATCCTAAGCCCCTAGAGCACTGCCTGACACAGAGCAGGAGTCTAATACATATTTACTAAATGAGTATCTGCAAAATATAATCTCCTAAGGGCTGGCTTAGTAACTTAAAGAGACTGACTGGCAAAGTCAGGATCTTGACACAGGCCTGTGTTCTGCCTACCACACTTTCTGCCTCCCGATACTAAGCATGTGTTCACGCATCCCAGCATTTCAAGGAACACACTGCTATGTAGTCAACTAACGTCACATTGGTGTTGGAAGGTCGTCACACAAGTAGCATTTAACGAGTACATTTCCTAGGTCAGAGAGTTAGACAAATGACAAGGATTAGCGAGCTCAGTTTATAAGTTTCCAGTAGTAAGCTTAGATCACTAAGCTGAGTTTCCTTAAATAAGAATGCCTGTGTGTGGGCCAAGTGACCAAATTGGATTCTCTTAGGCCTCTGCACAATCAGGTGACACCAGGAAGCAGCATTTTTCCTAACATCATAATTACCAAAGCCGCAACACACCTTCACCACTTGGCCTCTTGTGGAAGGTGCTCGTTATGATAGCCTGAAAGATCTTGTCTCCTCCTGGTAACCAGAGAGACTCTGCCGGGAGAGAGAAGCTTACTCACCAGGATGAAGACAGTAAAGAATATGACAACAATGGCAGCTGTAATGAACAGCTTTTTCCGGGGAAACACAGCAGCAGGTAGGAGAAACACAAGTGCAAAGCAGATGGCACCTCGGAGCCCTCCATAGGCAATGATGAACTGATCCTTAAAGGTCAGGGGAATCGTCCGGAACCAGTTAATGACCTGAGTCAGGACAAAGACACCTGAGAACGAAAAGCAAAACCAAAGAAAACAGACTGTGTGAGGCCAGAACATGAAACTAAAAGGAAGACTCATTCTCGGTGCTTCTGTGACAGGGCAAAGTGTCTAATAAGCCCCACAGTCTTTCCCCTTTTCCTCTGCTCTCGGGCATTCATTGTTCGGGGATAACGGGTGAAAATGTGAACTCAGGGAGGCCAAGAGACGTCAGTGTGACTTACAGCAAAGTCATGAAGGTACGTGGGGATGAACGGAATCCATGAGGAATGGGGGAGGGGGGGAGAGGGAGAAGTAGATGAAGCAGATGAAGCAGCAGCAGCCGAGGGGAGGGATGGGAAGCAGCAAGCCCCATTCTTCTAGTGAGTGCGAATATTCCTTCAGGAAACAAGCACCATTACCCAGCGCTCGCCAGATCAGACAGAAGGCAAGAGTGAAGCACACGAAGGCCCAGTTCCACTCATGGTTCTTCCCGACGGTGGACACGCCCATGAAGATGAAGATCAGGGTCTCACTGACGCTGCTCAGCATCTTCATGAAATACTTGATGGTGGTGTACGACTTCTGAGATACGTTTTCTTCCACATACTTATTCATAGTCATTGCACAAGCAGTGATTCTGCAAGGAAAGATATAGCTTGACAATGATCCTAATCAGAATAGAAGAGTCAACACTTAAGAGCTAAGTTATGGCTCTACCCTTCTTCCCAACACTGTAACATTATTGATTGATTTGTATAAGTGAATGTGATTTGCATCATTGGACCCCACTATCTCTGGAGGTCTTCATCAATACCTATGGCTTGAACTTCTTGGCTCTGCCCAGCTTTGTAGTCTATGGGCATCAGCACCTGTCAGCATCACAAATAGAACAGGTCCACAATATATTCAAAACCCGCTATCTTCCTATAAAACCAGTTTTGTTTTCTCTATCGCTCTAGGACCTAAAACGCTAAGGTATTGCCTACAATGCTAAACTTGAAACTGTAGTCTCATTGGCCTTCTCTTCCTGCCACACCTCCTCCATGCCCCCCACTCCACCATCTCATTGGTCACGAACTGTTTTCAAGCCCTCATCCTGGGTATCTCTTGGACCTACTTACTCCTTCTTTATCCTAATGCCTTAGTTTCCACTTCTGGAAAATTCACAAAGTATTTATAGGCTTTGAGATCACTTAAAGAACAGAAACCCCTTTCCTGTTTCCCCCAGAATCTTCAAAACTCTGGGACCACAGAGCTCTGGTTTCCCCTCCAACGATATCTATTTTAATAGAGCACCTGCGCACACTCTGGTAAGGGAAGGGCTCTAGGGTCAAGTCCATGCTCCTAAGCTGGATGGCTGAAGCTCTTTACACTCTTCACTCAGTGGACAGATCCAGTTTCACCTCCCATCCCCTCTCCACCCAGTATACACCATATGCCTCGACTGTCTGTAATTTCCCCAACATGCCCTGCTCTTTGCTATCTTCTCGCCTTACTGTGTGCAGAAGCTCCTCTCTGTCTGAAATGTTACCCCTGCCCATCTCAAATGCCCCCTCAGAGGGAAATTCAGTATGAACTGGGTGACTCATCCTAGGTTCCATCTAAAGAGACACCGATACTAGACATCAGCTGTAGCAACATTTTTCTAGATATGTCTCTTGAGGCAAGGGAAAAAAAAACAAAAAAAAAAAAAAAAAAAAAACACACACACACAAAAAACTATTGGGACTTCATCAAAATAAAAGGTCTCTGCACAGTGAAGAAAGCAATCAACAAACCAAAGGACAACCTACTGAATGGGAGAAGATATTTGCAAATGACATATCCAATAAAGGGTTAGTATCCAAAATATATAAAGAACTTATACAACTCAAAACCCCCCCAAAAATAATCCAATTAAAAAATGCACACAAGACATGAACAGACATTTCTCCAAAGATGACATACAGATGGCCAATAGGCACATGAAAAGATGCTCAACATGACTGATCATCAGGGAAATGCAAATCAAAACCACAACGAGATACCACCTCACACCTGTCAGAATGGCTAAAACCCAAACCGTAAGAAACAACAAATGTTGGTGAGGATGTGGAGAAAGGGGAACCCTTGTGTACTGTTGGTGGGAATGCAAACTGGTGCAGCCACCATGGAAAACAGTATGGAGGTTCCTCAAAAAGTTAAAAATAGAACTACCCTATGATCCAGGAATCACACTAATGGGTATTTACCCCAAAAATACAAAAACACTAATTCAAAGGGAGACATGCACCCCTATGTTTATAGCAGCATTATTTACAATAGCCAAACTATAGAAGCAGCCCAAGTGTCCATCTATACACGAATGCATAAAGAAGATATGGTATATACATAAAATAAAATATTATTCAGCCATAAAAATAAACAAAATCTTGCCATTTGCAATGACATGGACTGAGCTAGAGAGTATAATGCTAAGCGAAATAAGTCAGAGAAAGATAAATACCATATAATTTCACTCATATGTGGAATTTAAGAAACAAACAAGCAAAGGAAAAAAGAGAGAGAAAGAGAAAGAGAGATAAACCAAGAAACAGACACTTAACTATAGAGAACAAACTGGTGGTTGGTTACCAGAGGGGAGGTGGGTGGGCGGATGGGGGAAATAGGGGATGAGCATAAAAGAGTATACTTATCATGATGAAAAAAAATGATAAAAAAATACAGAGACATGGATACTAGAAAGCACCAAAGGACTCCATTATCAGAAGGCATTCTAGAATGAAGACAAAATTTGAGTGAGCTGTCTGCCTTGCACTGAGTGATCACCGTGCCATAAGCCAACCACCGGTCATGATCTGTGAAGCTTTCCACATTCTCCTAACTTCAGAGCTACAACGACCCTAAAGGCACCTCACCGCCAACCACTGCATAGAGTCCTCCTTACCCTGAGAAGATTTCTGCTATTTTAGGAAAATCCTCCTACTTCGAGCACATGGATAGGCAGAAGAACACAAACCTAAGGGCTCTCTGAGTGAAGACCTAAACGGGTAATCATGAACACATTTCATTGCAAGAAAAAGACCTGTTTCTTACACACACAGAACATGTCTATTTATTTGTGTGCCCCTATTAAAAGAAAACAGAGAACATGCCAGGTCAGGAACCGTGCATTTAGCCACAATGTCACCGGCCCCAGAATGAGTGGGTACTTCTTTGAGATTTATATGAGGGAGGAATGCATAATTCACGTGGTTCCCAAAAGAAAGAGTGCCTTATAAATAAGCTAATAAAATTCAGCAAACACAAACACATGGCAAGGTCTTTGAATAGCTTAGGGCTTATATAATAAGTCAACCTTTATAGCACCCCTGCTCTGTGCCAGTATGTAAGCACCCTGTGTGGATTATGTCAGTTCACCTCATTACAAACCTCTGAACAAGTTCTGTTAGCATTCCCATTTTACAGATGAGAGAACAAAGGCAGACAGAGGCCCACTTATTTAAGAGGACACTGCTCATAAATGGTGGTGCCAGGAGTTTTACTCAAGCAGTCTGACTCAAAGCTGGCACTGTTGAGGATGTAACCCTTGCTCTGTCCAAGCTCTCAGCGAGCCCAGTCACCTTGGATGGGGAAGAGGTCTCACACCCCTGCCAAGCCCTTGCTCATCCTTTCTCAAGTACAAGCCTGTTTGTATTAGCTTCCAATGGCTCAGTAAGAAATTAGCCAGAACTTAGTACCAACACACAGATTCATCATCTTACGCTTCCAGAGTTCAGCAGTCTAAAACCACTTTCACTGGGCTAAAATCAAGGTGCTGATAAGGCTATGTGCCTTCTGGAAGCTTTAAGGGAGATTTTCCTCACTTTTTCTAGTCTGGAGGCTGCTTACGTGCCTTGACTCATGAGCCTGTCACGCCAACCTCTGCCTCCTTGGCCATGTCTCCTTCTGATGGCTGACTTCCTCCTACTGTCCTCCCTCGGTATCCCTGTGATTTTATCCAGTGTCATCTCCCCATCTCAAGACTCTAACTTAATCACACCTGCAAAGTCCCTTCTGCCATGTAAGGTAATATATTTGCAAGGAGGGTTTGGAGATGAGAATCTCTGGGAGCTAGTATTCAGCGGATCACACCATTGTTGGCATTCACCTCCCTGGCATGGTGGCCACGACCAAGTGCATGTCTCCAGGTGATCATGGCCAGAGTTGCTCAAGCGTGCCTGGCGACAGAAGCTAACAGATGCTCTGTCATGCTGGCTCGAATCATAGACTAGAACCTCCACCAGCAGGCGAGAGAGACTGAGGAGAACAGAATGGCAAGTGGCATCTCTCTGAGTAAGCCTACGTAGGGCATCTTGCCAGCCCCCACTGCAATAAAAACCATTTGTTAACTATGGTTCTGAACATCTTTGCCTTTCATATTTTGGTTTAATTTTTCTTTAACCAGACTTCAAAAAATAAGATTTGCCCAATATAAAATAATGAAGGCAAAGAGCCCAATTAAACCGATTACAAATCTAAAGCAAAATGTGTTTTATCAAAAAAAAGATATATACACAGCAACACAAACTAAGGAGACTTTCTTAAATGTCATCAAGCTAAAACTTTGTAACAAAAACAAATTATAATGGTCATATTACTTCCTGAAATTCTCTAATGCTATGCAAGAGGTACCTCTAAATGATATTATAAAGTATTTAAGCTTAGAGACAAATACAGAGAATAAACACCAAAGTACCCACTCCCCAGCTCTTTATAATCACTTTATTTTTTTTTAATAAATAAAACATCAGCTACAGAGTTGAAATCGCTCCATTTTTCATATTATCCCTATTTCCCTCTCTCCTGCCAATGGATTATTTTTATCATTCAAAAAGTGATTTTTAAAAGGCTGGAGAATATTGTTTTTGTGAACGTGATAAACATTTCCCTCTAAGATCAAGTTCCCGTCAGTCACTGGGAAAAAGGTAAACCATACAGGTAAAGAGTAATCTTCAGTTCATTATCTAAGCAATGTAATAAAAATTTTATTCAGAAATTATTGAAAAACATAGCTTTGGTGTAAGAATAAAAAAATAATAAATGAATTTTACATGAATGTCCACGGGATCAATTTCCATTGCTTTGTGTCCTTAACATGACACCAGCAGTGATGCTCACGTCTGCCAGACACTTCGCTGTAACTTAAAGCTATTTCCTACCAGCACAGGGAGACACTGGAGGGAGAATGGTCCCAGTGGGTACCAGAGGCCTCAGCATCTGGTAGTGCCCCGTTCAAGGAAGCCTGGGCATATCTATGACATTGATGCGCTCTACGGGCTGGGGACAGATGTTCCAAATATCGGTTCTGGTCTGTTACGTAGAGCTTAATGCAAAGGCCAGGAGGTGTTTTCATTGCAAAGAGGTTTTTTGTTGTGTATACTCTGATCTGAAGTCAAACCCCCCTCACTGCAATAACATCACAAGTACACAAAACTACCAACTAGGGAGGCAAACACAATACAGTCTCCCAGAAGTAGAGAAACCTTCTCTCCCCTCTGCAAAGACCATCATCAAAACAGATATTCTTGGCACCATAACATTGCTTCTTCATTTTCCTAAAAGAAGTACAAGAAATTTATGAGGTAGGAATGGTGTTGGCTGGGGTCTGACTGTCCT